AAAAAGAATACGGCATCAATGTAGACCACAACGATATTCGAAATCCGGGTTTTAATATTGCCAATAAAAGCTAAGGGACAAGCTGTTAAACTGAGCCTGCAATTTCGTGAAAATAATATCACAATGCACATGCTTTTTTATATAAAGTTATTAAATACAAAATATAACAACATATTTGTTCACTTGATTTTTACGAATCAAAATAAATCTAATTAACTCAACATGAAATTAACTGCTAATAATAACAGCTCCTTCCATAGGCAAAAATAAAAAGCATTCCATATAAGACGACGCCGCTCACCGGCGTCGCCAAAAATGTGGTAATAAAAAATATGCGTGAATAAAGGGAGGTAATTAAATATTTACATCTTTGACATAAAAAATGTATTTGTATAGATTAAAAAAAATTAATAACATTTCTAGATACAGTAAATGACTACTAAAATAGAACAGTCTTTTTATGCCGATATGTACTAAAAAGATATTGATTAGTTTGTAAAAAGTTGCAAGTATATATACTTGAAAAACGAAGCACTTTTGCATACAAACCCTTCCGGCAACATGTTTCTAACTCATGTATCCAATATGTCTCCTTCAAAAGTCTCCCCATATTATCATGAACTTATCAATCGGCATGAAGGAAAAGTCATCTAGTGAATGATCTACGGAATTTAAATGAATTGCAACATTAGAAGAAAAATTGGTTATTTTCAAGAGCTTCTTCTTGGGTTGAATATTTAACTTTTGCAAAAGCAGATTTTAGCTTGCTATCAGGATAATATAATGGTTGTAATATAAAGTCAAGGTATTTTGAAATATTTTCTGTATAACTATTGCATGCAGAAATAATTGGTCTGACTGGATATCCTATGGGTAAACTTTCATTATAATCTTTATGAATTTTGGGCAAGATATAAAATTGGGGCGTTCTTATGACGTCTGGAAAAATGTCAAATTCGCTGGTTATGTTACTGGTTATTTCAAATATCTCGTTTATACAGTTTTGAATATTAAGTTTTATTTCCTGTGACGGGTTATTGTCTAATTTTGAGCAATATTTATTGTTATTCAATTGGCGTTCCACTTCATGAATGTGGTCAATTTTGTTCATTATAACTATCATATTTGATTTATCTGCTTTTTAATAATGATAGTTTCATCTTGGCAAAGTGAACGTAGTGAGTTCATTTCTTCTTTAGAAATATTTGTGCGGTATAGTTGCTTGTCATTACTTTTAAGAATTTCTTGTGTAATAGCTTCTATATAAAAGTCTAAATAAGTTTCACGGCCGTTAGGGGGAATAAATGTAGACTTACGTTTATTAAAGAATGGCATTTGTTTGAATTTCTTATGTTCACTTTTATCATTATTTTCATAAAAGTATTCTTTTAGTCTAAGTCGTCTTGCAAAATTATAAATTTCTTCAGCAAGTTTAATTTTATCACGTGATTTGGGTTTTGGACAAAATTTAAATACCGTTTCTTACCCTCGTTTGATTTTCTAAATTCTTTTCTATTCTCGTTTCCATTTATTATTGTCTGTTGTTCTAATAAATAGTCTGTTTCGTTTTGTATAGTATTTTTCTCCAGGAGTGTTTGAATAGTTGATAGAAGACTCAAAAGGGTTTCGTGTACCGCTCTTGTTGATGTTGTTGATAATGTCGATGTTGTTTTCCCCATTTTTACGGATTCCGCATATGTGTGGTTCTTTGTTCCCGGGGATGACGAGAGTTTTTTGGACTTTCACTGTTGAGGTCATTCGGTGAAATTCTTTTGGTGACTTTTTGACCATTTTGTACGTAGTTTCATCGGATGTGGCATAAGGATTTGTTGCTTTGGGAGATTCGACTATTTTCTTCTTTATTTTCTTGTTTCTTGTTGTTTATGACTGCTTTTTGCTTTTTTTATTCATATTGTTGTTCTTTTAATAATTTTTGTTTTAAAGTAAAGTTTTTCCGTAGTACGAATCGTATCTTGTGATTTGTTTTCTTTTCCTGAAGATTGTTCAATTTTTTATTTTGCTTCTCCACGATTTTGTTCTTTTTTGTTTCTGTTCTCTCGAACAATTCGGTGGCAAAGTCAAAAATATTTACATCTGGTTTTTGTAGAAGATCATTACGTAATTCTTCCATTTCGCAACCAATTATAATACATTTCTTCTGGTGAGCGGATTTTACTCGTTCGCATATTTTTAAAGCTGTTATATTTAGTACATTGTCTGTCTATGGATTGTTGTAATTCTGTGCAGTCATCGCCAACGTAGACTTTAAGATTCAGTTGTAATCCTTTGGCAGTGTTATCATTTATTATGTAATACATTAAATTTTGTTTCTGTATCTTATTATTTCATAACTATCATTTTGAGTTGTTTCCAGTTTAGTTTCAAGTTTGTTTTTCTAGAGACTGTTGGGAAACTGAAAACATATTCTTCGCGTACCTTACAAACTGCAAGAAAAAGGTAAGAATTTAAAAAAGCATAAGTTAAATCAAATAAATACAATTGATTATATCCATGTATGTATAAAAAATTAATAAATAAATAAATAAAAAATTTGATGATAAATAAGTTTCTTTGAAATTTATATAATAGAATCACATTGATTGCACGTCTAAAGGTCTTAACACATCAATTAGTTTTTTTGTAATCTATTGAACCTTTATCTCCATAAAGATGCAATGCTATTTTGTTCCAGATGGAGACAGTTCCTGTGTAAACTTTGCCAAATTTGCCAAGAGCCAATTGATGACAGCAAATCTTCCGTCCGAGCTGTAGAAAAAGGATGCCAAGGGATTAGAGCCGCTTGTGAAAATCACACAGTAAAACTCATAATAAATCCAGGAGACTATGTTCATGTTTTGTGTCGCAAAAGCTTTACAAGAACATTATCTGACAAACATTCAGAAGATAAATATGTTGATAGAAATGACAAACATTTGCGTTCTGTTGCTCCAAACTTTGATTTGAACCTTTTCCTTGATATAAGCGTGTTTTGACGGCTTTTGCCACCGTCCTCCCCCTTTTGAGGCCTCAAACAGTGAGAAAATGCCATATTAAGGCCCCAACACTGTTTTTCGTTTGAGAAATGTTGTTAAAAAAGTGACCACTTTTTCGGCGCGGCCCCCATCATAATGATACATCAGAGGGTTGCCAGAAGGGGGATGTGCCCCCTTCTGTTGGGGGGGGGGGGGGTTGAAGGGCGGAAGTCCCCTCATCGCCAAGAAAATTTTGGACATGTGACAGGCTAAAATGGCCTCAGGTCGATCTTAAGGTGACGTGTAACCAACGCTTACAAGCCTTTTACTCTATCTCATTGCATTTAGAAGTTGCAGCACTTTAAAAATCAGTTTTGATGGAAAAAATACAACAAAAAAACAATGCAAAGAAGTGATTTTTCGCAATTTTGAGACGTCCCCCCGTTGCCATGGTAACAGGAAATTTACGATTGAGCATGTTGTTACAGAGGTTATGGTTAAGTCAAAATATTTGCCAAGTTTCATCAGTATTGAAGCATTTTTTCATAGTTTTATAGCAGTTGGAACTTGTAACAGGAGGCTTTTTCAATGAAAACGGCCATTTTTCACAATATGCTTATGGGGTAAAAGGTAAAATCAAAATGTTTATTTTGTGGTTCATTTGCTAAATGTGGTAAATTAAATAAAAAAGATCTTTTGATGCATATCCTGTAAAACGTTTAGAATTTCAAAGCACTGTTATTATAAAATGTACATATAGGGCTGATCAGTAGGCGCATGATATTAAACATTGACTCTCTCATGTTTTTAGCTCACCAGAGCCGAAGGCTCAGGGTGAGTTATTAGTATCAAAGGGGGATGCTCCGGCGTCCGTCGTCCGTCGTCATGCGTCAACAATCGTCTTCTTCTCTGAAACTACTTAGCAGATTTACTTCAAATTTGGTCTGTAGCATCCTTGTGACAGTCACACTTGAATTGGCTCATGTCATTCCAATTGGCCTTAGGGGTCAGCAGAGCTAAAAATAGAAAAAGCTATAAACATCTTCTTCTACAGAATTAATGGATGGATGATCACTAAACTTTGTCTGTAGCATTCTTGGGTAGTCCTTTATCAAGTTTGCTCAAATTAATTTGATTGGCCCGTTTTAGGGGTCTCTAGGGCTAAAAATAGAAAACGCTTTAAATATCTTCTTCTTCAGAACTAATGGATGGTTGATCACCAACTTTTGGTTTTAGCATTCTTGGGTAGTCTTTTATTAAGTTTGCTCACATGAATTTGATTGGCCCCTTTAGGGGCCGCTAAAACTAAAAATAGAGAAACCTTTAAACGTCTATTTCTACAGAACTAATTGATGGAAGATCACATACCTTGTCTGTAGCATTCTTGGGTAGTGTTTTATCAAGTTTGCTAATATTAATTTTGATTGGCCCCTTTTAGGGGTCTCTAAGGCTAAAAATAGAAAAAACCTTTAAACATCTCCTACAGAACTAATTGATGGATGATCACCAAACTTTGTCTGTAGCATTCTCGGGTAGTGTTTTATCAAGTTTGCTCATATTAAATATTGATTACCCCCTTTTAGGGGCCGCAAAAGCAAAAGCTAAAAATAGAAATACCTTTAAATGTCTATTTCTATAGATCTAATTGATGGAAGATCACCAAACTTCGTCTGTAGCATTCTTGGGTAGTGTTTTATCAAGTTTGCTCATATTAAATATTGATAAGCCCCTTTTAGGGTCTCTATAGCTAAAAATAGAAATACCGTAAATGTCTATTTCTAGAGAACTAAATGATGGATGATCACTAAACTTTGTCTGTAGCATTCTGGATAGTTTTTTTTATCAAGTTTGCTCATATTATTTTGATTGGCCCCTTTTAGGGGCCGCTAAAATTAAAAATAGATATACATTTAAACGTCTATTGCTACAGAACTAATTGATGGATGATCACCAAACTTTGTCTGTAGAATTATTGGGTAGTCTTTTATTAAGTTTGTTCATATTAATTTGATTGGCCCCTTTTAGGGGCCGCTAAAGCTATAAATAGAAACAACCTTCGAATATCATTTCCTACTGAAATAATTGATAGATGATCACGAAACTTTGTGGCATTCTTAGGTAGTCTTTTATCAAGTTTGCTCATAACAATTTGATTAGCCCTGTTTAAGCTATTGCTTTAATACCCACCCAAGGTCATGGAATTTCTTCAAATTATTGTTTAAACATATTCTATGCTCAAATTTAATATGAGAATATATTGACATAAAAAAACACTGAAAAGCAGTTGTTTCTGGTGAGCGACTCAGGGCCATTATGGCCCTCATGTTTGACTTACCTGCAGCTGATGCTATATACCACCAGCAGTGTAATATTAACTTTAGGACAGGAAAGAGCATTCCGAAGTCATACCAGACGGTAAATTGTGACAAAGCTGCATTAAGAAGTCCAGGTCGACCAGAACAAAAAGAACAGAAAGATGCTTTTGAAAAGGTAATGTTATATCTTGAAGTTGCAACAAATGAAACTCTCACAGTAAATGACTTAGTGTCTGACATGACTAATGTATGTGGAGGCAATATAGTACAAAACACACGCAGAAGAAAAATCATTGAACACTTTGGTAATGAGTAGTGATAATAAGTAGTATTGATGGCAAAATGACATTGTTTCCTTGAGGTCTAACGCATTTGCGATAATCCATTCATTTTATGGAGATTTACAAGGACAGAGTGATGAAGAAAAAATAATAAGAAATTTAGAAACTGCTGGAAAATTGCTTAAAGCCGATATAAATTCAATGAACACAGCCAGAGATTACTACCCAAGTCTTAATGATGTTTTTTTTCAGCAGAGAATAATGTTTCTTTTTTACCAGTCTCCAATTGTTTATGAAAGTAATTTTGGCCAGCAAAATAATTTAAAGGTTACCGCTTTAGGTCAGAGCATTGTTCAGACATATCGAGCTAGAAGTGTGATTGCCCCGCTACAGCTTGGTCTTGGAGTACAACTGCATCATCATTTCGGCTCCAGATTTCTAATTGATCATCTCAATAGCCTCGGCCATTGCTGTTCCTATTCTAAAGTCCAAAAGTACGAAGCTAATGGTGCTGCCGCTTTATCTAACAAAATTCATTGCCAGGAATCAGATGATCCATTTTTACAATTTGTAGTGGACAACGTCGACACTTATGTTACCCACTTTGAACGTTGACTTAGTATTAAAAACGAGACAAAACATAGTACGGTTGGGCACGCCGCATTTGGTTTTTCTCAAGTAATTAATTCGTCGGAGCCAAATATAATATTTTTCATTTTCCGATATTCCCCATTTAAAGGCTGGTGACGGCCGGCGAATGAACATTTTGTGATACTTTCGATAATATTTTCTGTCAGTGTTTTGATGTTTTCATATATATGTTTTTCGTGTATATTTTTGAAAAAAAAGACTATTTTGTGAATTAAGATTTGAAAGACTAGTATTGTTTGAAGAACTTTGATCAATAATTTTCAAGACATTTAATGTAGTTTGATACAGTTATTTGTTTGATTTGAAAGGGTTGCCCTAACGGGGTTTCGTGTACCAGGAATCACTTATTACCTTATGACTTGATTAATAAAATCGTACCTATAAATACAAACATTTAAAAAGAAGTTGACCGGTAACAGAAACTATATACGCCAGTATGTATAGTTTTACGTTTTCTATCGTTCGTTGTTGCTAACGAATAAAATTTCGAACTTCCAAGACAGACCTCGTTTAACTTTACATACGTATATATATTTGTACGTGCACAGAAATGCGATTTCATTTCGCATATCAGTAAGAAGGTGACACACAGTCATCAGTTTGACATTCTTACACTTGAAAGTATGTTATCTTTCTCAGTATCTATTTAATTAAAGGTCCGAAAGTTATCATTATGTCAACTTAAATTAAGGTTCAAATGCGTTTGAACATAATTGCATGTAATTTTCAAAGATTTGACAGACTTGTTGGCATCTCTGGTAAAGCAATCTGCTAGTCAGGAACGTGAAGTTTGTTTATTTGGAATATTAATCGGATTTGTAATACAATATAGAAAAATAGAAAAAACTATCGTGGGTATTGCTGATATCGTACCCGGATATTTACTAATGTTAAGGATAACTGTCGTATATTTATTTCTAGGATAGTAAAAAAGTAAGTAATTGCATTTTATAGTTTAAGTTTCATGCTTACGCACGTTCACCGACTTTACAGCTATTACCCCTGGTCATCGGGCTACTGGTATCTATCTATCAATCTCCCTGGGGAGTCTTTTAACTCCGCTTAGTGCAGCCGACACTTGGCGCAACGGAATTATACCACCCTCGCAGGTACCCATTTACACCTGGGTGAAGTGAAGCAATCGCAGGTAAATTTCTTGCTCAAGGAAATTAGCAGTGCCCCTGGTGGGGTTCGAACCCGGGACCTCTCGATCCCTAAGCGCGCGTCCTACCACTGGACTACTGCTCCTTTAAATAAGGATACTAGCTACTCGCTTGTTATATTACTGGATACCAAGCTCGTTGCTATTTTATGCAGTTGACAATATATCTCATCTTAATTACGCCTCCGTCCGTTAACATATTCCATCAAAAAGCAAAATAAAATCTATCAAATTGCAGCCATTAGTCTTTTATTGAAAGTTCTTTCACAGATAAAATGACAAACATCTTCCAAGAAAAAACATTTCCTTTTTTAAATGAATTTAGCAGTTAACTAATTTTTCTCATGCAGGCAGCTCTTTTGTTTAATGATCGGAGAAGTTAATCTATCGAAGCTTTTTGTGAAAAGATTCGAATTATTTGGACATTGAAGATGATTTGAGCCGCGCTATGACAAAACCAACATAGTGCAATTGCGACCATCATGGATCCAGACCAGCCTGCGCATCCGCGCAGTCTGAGCAGGTTCCATGTTGTTCGCTTACAAACCCTATAAGAAGTAGAGAAACTGATAACGTACAGCATGGATCCTGATCAGACTGCCCGGATGCACAGGCTGGTCTGGATCCATGTTGGTCGCAAACGCATTATGTTGGTTTTGTCATGGTGCGGCTCATTTAAAGTAAATGCTAATATTATGCTTTCGTGGTGATAATCATGGAGTCATTGCTTATAGTATGATGTAATGTTGAATGCATTTATAAAGATAACAATGACTGTAACATCATCTTTGATAACCATAGTTTAAATTACTACTGACAACGACAGTGATGAACGCATATTTCTAATGATGCCTATATAGGGTTAAATGTATGACGAGCAATAATAACCTTCCTTTGTCGTACATGTACTTGAAATCACTAGAAGTAATCAAACAATTGAAACTGTAAATTATGACAAAATTATTGAGATCCTGCCAAGATTTTGTATTACATAGCACTATTAAATATCTACGCTTTTGTTTACAGATGGACGGCGAATTTCACAACTTAGTTCCATATAATGTGCCAGTATGGGCACAACATCTACAAAACATCCCTACATGTTTTGTCAAAGTGAGTAACTACTGAAAACATGAAAACCACATATGACCTTTTCAGTTGAAGCTCTATGATTTCACACCATTCATTATTTTAGAAGCGATTTATTGAACTTTGTATATTTGTATACTAATTTCTACAACCGAATGAAGATTGTTTGGGAAAGCAACATTAAATATTTAGTTATTTTCCTTTACCTTTGAAAAAAATAAGATCTTACCAGAATCCTTTTTTTCATATAAAGCATCGTTTATATTATCATCTTTTTATGTCATCGTCGTATATCATGAGTTGTAAAAATGAAACCATTTTTTGGCGACTGATATACATAGTAACTTATATTCAGAACTTGAATAGTTTCAACATACTGTAGCTTGTCTGTATTGTTAATATTTGCAGCTTTCAAATTTGAACACCCCAGTACATAAATGGAATATTCCTGGTTTACCAGATGATGTTCAATTATTTATAAAAAGAGATGACCTTACTGGGGCCGAACTGTCTGGAAATAAGGTAAAGCTAGAATACAATTTGATTAAACAAATGTTTAAAATATATTCATTAAAAGGATCTACTAAATATGATGACGACTGTATATATATCACAAATGGAATACTTTTCCGACAAGGGATAATGCATATTCCAACGAGGGTTGACAATTTATTAGTTTTCTAGAGGGGTAACGAATAATCAATTTGTTGATTTTACTAGTTTTGCGTGATTTTTAATATTTAAACGTCAGAAAGGCTGCGCATACCCGCGGGGGGGGGGGGGGGGCTATGAACCCCCTAACGTCCATCCCTTCTCTGCATGGATATGTGCATGCGACTGGAAAGTAATGAAAATATAGCTTTTAAGTGCATGACATTATAAGCTTATTGTCCATTAGCATGATGAAATCTAGTTATTCTCGAACCCTGTAGAAGTCGGATATGCAAGTATATAATAGCTGTCTAGATTTGTTCGTAAAATTGAACACTGGCTATGCTGACAGTTTTACTAATGATGGCCGTTTCGGGTTTGGTGGAGTTAGGAAGAAGTAAATTGTAATAGATTTGATTGAGCATTGTCCATCAACATATACGATCAGCTCAATCTGCTATAAATTTTAGTGATACCTTCTACCAAACATATTTGGCCGAAGTTGCCCTATGTGTAACATGTTTATTACATTTATGACATACTAGTAATTATCTTTAATTAACCATTTTTATAGTTAAAACTTGTAGCCATAGAGATTTATGTTTTTTTGTGCGCTGGGATCTGATTGATATATGTTATTGTGTATATGAATTTAAGTTCCAACTTGTTTTATGTTGGGGTTTTCAGGTTCGAGCGCTACAGATCCTTTTTGCCGAAGCTCTTGAAGAAGGAGCAACACATGTTGTCACAGGGGGCGGACCTCAGTCCGGACATTGTCGAGCAGTTTCCCTTATCTGCCGGTCACTGGGTTTAAAACCTCACATTGTAATTGACCGAGTTGAGAAAGTATGCACATCTATATATATCTAAATTTCATTCTTTCCTTCACGAATAATATTTCATTTCTGTCGGGTTCACAGCCTGTTGTAACAGAAATAAGAACAACATTTGCTTTATTGAACTATTTAGCCGAAGACATAAATTATTTTCATTACGTCACAGTCACTTAATACTGAAGACAGAACCGTCCAATTTATTAGTAGGAAGTCATTAGTACAAATTTTAATCGTCCTTTTACTAGAAATTGGTCAGGAATCGGACCGGCTTTCTCCCTAATCTTACAAGTTTGCTTATAATGCCTTTAATTTTGTTTAGCTTGTGATGAAATCATGTCAGAGGAAATTAATTTTGTAGTTAAAATGTTTTTCATTTTAACAAAGTTTTTTTTGCAAATAAGTTTTAAGTAAATCAACCAATTGAACCTTATTATCATCCTACGATGCAAGATAGCCGATATTATTACCCCGAGCGTATTTAGATATACGATGATTTTATTACGTGTAAAAAGTAATGACGTTATTTGTTGATTTACAATGTAGTCGATTTGGCGACGGGGCCAGTCACATAAAAACGCTTACATTTAATATAGTTTTGTTCCTTTTTAATATTGTTTGTGATGTAGTGTTTAATAAAACAAAAGCATACCTGTGCAGCTTTTGCGACTCCGTAAAAATGGTATTGCATGGCCGTGCGTATATTTTGACGTGACCTCATTTGCGTTATACAAACCTAGAGCTTAGACGCACTAAATGTTAGCGTTAAACTATACACGTCTTCATGTCATGCCTATTAAGTCTATAATGTAAGCTTTTTTACTTGAATGGTGGCATTAATAATAATCAAAAAGAATATCAGGAGATTCAGTCAGTATGTTTCAGCTGTTGTGTTATACAGAAAGAAGATCTCGTGGCTATGGGTAATATATTGTTATACAGAATGGCAGGAAGTCAAATTTATGTCACACCACTGGAAAGTTACACGTCCCTTAAACGAAGAATCGGGAGGATGCAGCACTTTATAAGGTGAATTTTCGTTATTTTGACAACTATTACCCAGGATGCTATTCAATAATCTTAGAACATATACCTATTCTGATTTTAATTGTTGTTAAAGAACATATATGTTTTTATAGTTATCAAATTTTCATTCCAGCGATGCATACAAAGAAAAGTGCTACTGTATACCTTCTGGAGGGGCGACCGGTAAAGCGGTTTATGCATTTATCACGTTATTTGAGGAACTTCTTCAACAGGTATCTTATCTATACAATATAAAGTCATCATTTTATGCACCGCTAACACGATACACTATTTTGGTTGTATATAGAAAGAGTGATTCCTTTGAAGTATTAATCACAGCAAATTTACATGAAAATTTGTCTGTACTAAGCCACTAAAATTATTTATTGTGTAAAGTTTGTTTGTTTGTTTGTCTGTCTGTCTGTTTTAACGCCTATTTCACACACCTCGTCAGTCGCACCATGTCACCAATTTTCCTGGAAAACTAACCAGTAAATACCAAATTATCCATAAGTAAATGACTACTAATCCCATGTTAATTCTGAATAGGCGGTGAGAGAATATGACAATTATCATTTGGCAGGAAGAAATTTTGCTTCGCCCGATGACTGCACTTGAACAACAAATCCGATGATGTCTCTATTGATCTAAGTAGGAGGACTAATTCAGATGGTTTTACCTTGGATAGGATGTGCATTATGTTCACGGATTACCTGTAACTCAACTTAACTAGATAAATATACACCATTGGCCTCCTACAGTAGTGAATTCAATCCCAGACAGCGGCTTAATCAACACAATGGCTAATTTGAAATGTGACAGTTGTCTCCGAAACATTATGCCTTAAAGCATGTATCGTAGACATCTTTCGCGACTCAACTATACCTTACATGTATTTGTTCCTAATAATTTTCCAGAATCTGTCGGTATGCTTATATTATAAGCATTTATCTGTATCTAATAAGGACCGAAATTTCACTTAACGAATATACTGTTAGAGAGAATTCCAAAATATAATAATGATCACAAGCCTTCTTGATTGATACACTGCCGGTTTCTTTAACAGGGTCTACATGAACGATTTGACGATATAGTATTAACAGTCGGGACCGGCGGCACCTCTTTGGGTGTAGCAGTGGCGAACTCTTTGACAGGGTCTTAACTCAGGAAAATGGAATGCATTTTCATTCATTCAAACATCCTGCATATTGTTATTAGAACTATACTATTATGAAGACACATGAAATAGCATTATCAATAGCATTAGTAAGCTTGTATGGATTTACAAAACATTGGTTTTATATTCTAAAATAATTCTCGTAAATAACACGTACGGACAGACCCGAATTTGGAGTCTTACAGTCTAATAAATTCAAACAATATATCAGTTTAATATCAACTTAATAATATTTTTGCTTGTTATTTACATACGTTGAAGCATATTAATAAAGAGTCCATACTATTCAGTTTTTATTCCAATGTTATGTATTATCAAAAGTGTTCTCACTTTGGCGTTTTTTGCAGGTTTCATTCATTAACAGTAAACTTTATACATCCTGTGACAAATTTACTTCATGATTCATTCATTCTTTTTATCAATCATCCGAAGTGGCAACATTGTGTTCAAGAGTTGTTTATTTTTGCTGAAGAGTCCATGCTGTGACGATTTTACTCCGTAAAGAAGAACTGTGTAAATATATGGATGATTAATTACATCAGTTAGGTTTGAGTTCTGTTAAATCTGAAGACATTCTTGATGTTATAGAAGGTTATATTGGCAAAGGATACGGCGTAGCCAGTGATGACGTTCTTAGTAAGTTTCCAACAGAATAAACTTTTTATTATAATCATAAATTGTATTATAAATGGGAAAACAATAATAATGAGTAACAAACTAAACAGATCCACATCGAATCTACACGTAAAACATAAAGAACAAACGAAATAAGAAATATGTTACATTAAAACAAATTAGTAATAGTGAGGCTTTAAAAACTAAACCATTAATTAATATTAAAGAATGTGTGGATATCCTAACCTCTTTGGTAAACATAAGTGGCCGGTGTATTTCGCAACGATACATCAAAATAGAGGCATTCTAAAAATAATTTATGTTTTACCTTTTACATACAGAAATATTTCGATTCCTTGTTCAGTTGCACATTTTTTACATGTTTTGCCTACTTAAGACAAGGGCATCGGCAGATGATTGAAAAACCACTGTAACGTGTAAGACAGCAAGTTCGCATGTTTCCTACATCTCGCGAGGTAACGTTTAAGTCGGCATAAAATTAACTGCCGTCGTATTGACTAAAGCCGAGTGACTTTTGACGACAAGGAAAGTGTGCTAGGGTGTGTGAGCTCCCAGGACAGAGAGTGGTTGATCCAAGCCCTTTGCTGGCATAACAGCCCTTTTCAGTGCTACCTCCTTTTCATATTGTTTCGGGTTCTCATTGACTGCCGTCCAGTGACCCACTTTTGGCTAAAAATTCATTCATATTTTTGGCAAAACTCCGTGTAAATTCAATGTTAGGATATACGATATTTAAAATTATGTCAAGTACTAAAACCCTTCTTTTGTGCGCTACATTATGTTTTAATATTCTAACAATTTCTTAGAATAAAAACATATTATACCTTCAAAGTCAACGGAATGTTTACCAAAAATACAAACAAAAAAAAAACCCAAAACAGTCCGATCGGGAGCACTTTAAAGGTGCTCGATGATGTAGTATCATACCATTAAAATGCAAGGAGGTAAATCATCACCACTTTGTGCTTCAAAGTTTATACATTTAGAGCTTGTCTGGTGGCATGTCCGAGATCCGTACTCGACAGCGAAAGCTGCATTCAGTGCATGAAAGGTATGTTGAGCCCTCATTAGACTACCGTACCGTACCGAAGTATATGCACGGATTGTTAAACTTTGTACAACTTTCAGGTTTTAGCAGTGTCAGTGTTAACAAACACAAATTAATTCAAATGTAAAAAGTTAAATAATGAATATTTAATAGAGCACCAAATAAAATGTTGTCGTATACTGGTAGTTTGATAGACAATTTTAGCGTCTCCAGTTAAAGGAAATACAACCTGAACTGACACTTTACACCTACCATTATTAATCTTAATGGTCCTGCGTCAATCAGCGCCATTATAAGTTCTATTAATATGAAACTGTTCGTATTTCAATATTAAAATTTTAAAAGCCTCTTCTATTTAATAGGAAAATCTATGTACACAATGAACGTCTTTCCTCTTGTATTTAAAAGAAAATATGTGTAAACAATGACCTTGTAAAATCCTATCAATAATACTTATAGCATTATCAAACGTTTATAAAAGCATTTAATACTAAGTTTAATTTATATTATTAAGTAAAGAATGATGTGCATAGGTTATTAGGAAGTCTGGTATCCAAAGCTTATGTAGATATATTAATATATTTTCATATTTCTAGGATTCATATCGCGAGTTAGCTCGACCACAGGGATAATACTTGACCCTTGTTACACAGGGAAAGGCGCAATGGGAATGATCGGAGAGCTGGAAACCAATCCATCAAGATTTAAAAGAAAGAGAATACTTTTTATACATACAGGTAAGTCTAAAGCATTGTCTCTATCAGTCATTTGAGCCGCGTCACGACAAAACCAACATAATGTGTTTGCGACCTACTTCAATGGCGATTTTCAGAACAAATATGATTGCATAAAAAGCTTGCATCAGTCTTGGAAATAAAGACAGAAAATTAGAACTCTTTGTAGCCAAATCTTTCGAAATCTTATATTTGTATTAAATATAGAAAATTATGCGTTTAACCGTAAGAGTGACCGATAAATTTATTGTTTTAAAACTATTTGAGAAGTAATCAAACCAGTCTGGCTTCCGCGTGATTTGTTCCAAGCACGTCAACGAAAATAGTAAAAAAGATATTATGATTAAAACATAATTTAATAGTAACTTGACTCTTTCTATTTTTAATGAACATCAAGAACTGTAGAGCATTTTATCTGAGAACAGTTTGGTTTGACTCTTTAATTCTCCTTTTATTAGTATTTCTGTACTTCTTGTATTTGAAAACATTTGATCCTCTATATTAGCTATCTGTTTTATTTACGGTTTATCTATATATATTGAAGGAGGTATATTTGGTTTGTTCAATGGAGTAATGGACAGAATCATTGGCAAGGAGGGGGAAGTTACAAATGATATAACTTTGTGGCCGGATGAACGCGTTTCTCCAATTAAAACCGGAATTTGAATACATTTGTATTTGTTCTGTTCGAAGAATAAATCATTGTACAGCATGACTCTGCGCGTACTTCTTTCACAATATCCTCAACTTTTTTCAGATATTAAGCCTATTTATACACCAAAGGCATATTATAAAATCTATATAACTGAAATTCAAGAATAACCAAAGCATTGTTTGTGACATTTTAGTCGTTAAAATAGCTAAAATTTGAAGAAATCAAATTTAACTGACTCATGACAATAAAGTATTCAAGCATTTTAAGTAATACAAAACGATCTGTGTATGATAATTTAATTCAAATGATTTATTATTTCATTATTCGGTATTAAGTTTAATTTTCAATTTAGTTTTAAAGAACAACATAACAATATAATATGAAAAAAAAACAAGATAAACAAGGAAGGTCGGCGTTCAATGATAGCAACCCAGATACGACCCAACAAAACGGGACCCCCGGCAAGGAGCTCAGGAGGATATTAAACAGCCACATGTTGTTTACATAAGTCAGCTCAAGTACTGAGAATAATATATATCAACCATTCTAACAGACTAAATCAATATTATCATAGAAAAATATATTTCACAACAGAATGTTATATGCGGACTATTCTGTTGATTCTTTATTATCTTGTCTAAACACAAGGAATACTGACACTATTCGGTTTGCTAAAAAAATCATCATGTAAAATTTTAGAATCTCGACAGCAATGAATAAAGTCTCAGAACGAAAGAAAAATGATGCTCATTTAGGATTCACATAACGAAATGTATATGTTTTATTAATTAAAAACTTACATTATATCAAAAGTAAACGTTGTAAAGAAGAAAAAAGTTCAAAAGCAGCATAAATCATCAGTTAACGAAGTCAACGTCGTTGAATCATATAACACATGATACATTTTCAGAATAAATCACATAAAAAGGGAGAAGCCGAATGAAAAGATCAATGAAATGTCACTTACAATGCATATTCAAAAATTACTCAATATAAAACCGTTCAAAGAACTTCAGCACGGACGAAGTTGATTTCAATTTTTGTCATTGAACCTGTCTATCACAATATCCACAAATGGGTTGAACAAGCTGGACTTTCCCCTAGTCCTCTGCTTCTTTCTTGGCGGTTTCGGTGGTATGTTAACTTGCGCTGTGATTATTTCCGCCGTGTCTGTCGTTGTCAAGGGTGCGGACCTCAATTAGGACATTGTCGAGCAGTTTCCCTCATCTATCGGTCACTGGTTTTAAAACCTCACATTGTGATTAACCGAGTTGAGAAAGTACACATCTATATCTATATGTATATCTAAAATTCCTTCTTTCCTTCGCGAATAATATTTCGTTTATGTCGGATTCAGCCTGTTGTAACAGAAGTAAGAACGGATTCAGCCTGTTGTAACAGAAGTAAGAACAAAATTTGCTTTGCCGAAGAAATATTGTCATTTGATTTACTATATATTTTTTTGCAAAGAAAATTGTTAAAGTGAAAAACAATTTAACTACAAACTTTTGTTTCTTTTGACATGATTTCTTCACAATCTAAACAAATTGAAGGCATAATTAGCAAGAGAAAACAAACCGGTTCGATTCAGGGCCAATTTCTAGTAAAAAGACGATTAAAATTAGTACTAATACCTTCCTACTCATAAATTGGACAGTTCTGTCTTCAGAATATAGGGACTGTCTCCGACGTAAAGTAACCACTAATTGAACCTATATATTATGCATCCTACGATGAAGGATGGTCGATCGATATTGTTTGCCCCGAGTATATTTTTACATACTGTATACGAAAATTTTATTACACGTAAAAGGTAATGACGTACGTAATTTGTTGATTAACAATGACGTCGATTTGGCGACGGGGCCATTCACATAAGGAACCCTGACATTTAATTTAGTTTGTTCCCTTAACAATATCTTTTGTGATGTACTGTGTTTGTTAAAACGGTTAACATTTACATACATTTACATACATTTTATCAGTGATTAAGATGTAAATCTTGGATGTGAAAATTACATGATTTTTATCCAAACTTAAAATCTAAATATAGACTAAGCAAGCGAGATCGATGGAATACAGTATTTTTCACGTCATGCCTATTTAGCATATAATGTTATAATGAGTTTTTGTTTTACTTGAATGGTTGCATTAAGAATGAACTGAAAGAATATCAGGAATTTCAGTCAGTAGGTTTCAAATGTTTTGTTAAACAGAAAGAAGATCTCGGGGCTATGGGTAATATATTATTTAGTCCCTTAAACGAAAAATCAGGAGAATGCAGCTATTCATATGGTGAATTTGCGTAATCAGATTTATTCTTCAAATCTAAAAACGAAAAACAGTGCGATCGTCATAAAAATAATATTTGAAGCAACAATCTAATATTATAAGAACACTCACAGAATATCCACAAAAATCAACATTTAATCGGTTCGTATTTGAGCTGTCTATTTTAAAGACAACTTTATTACCCAGAATACCATTAAATAATCTAAGAATATACCTATTCTGATTTTATTTGTAGTTAAAGAACATATACTAGTTATCACATTTTCGTTCTAGCGATGCATACAAAGAAAAAGTGCTACTGCATACCTTCTGGAGGGGCGACCGGTAAAGCGGTTTATGCATTTATAACGTTATTTGAGGAACTTCTTCAACAGGTATCTTATATCTATACATTATATATAAAGTCATCATTTTATGCACCATTAACACGATACGCTATTTTGGTTGTCCTTACTAAAATCTGGAGAAATAGTGATTCATCGGAAGCATTAATCACAACAAATTTGCATTAAAATTGCAGTCTCTGTGAAATCAAGTCTGTACTAAGCCACTAAAATTATTTATTGTGTAACGTTTGTTTGTTTGTTTGTCTGTCTGTCTGTCTGTCTGTCTCTGCCTGTCTGTTTTTACGCCGATTTCGCATACCCAGTCAGTCGCTCCACGTCAGAATTCCTTTGGAAAACTAACCACTAATTACCAAATTATCCATAAGTTTTTAGAGATTTCAAGATTTTATAATTCACTCAATACACTATACATGTAAATAAGTAAATGACTAATAATCCAATATTAATTCTGAATTGGCTGTGAGAGTATATGACAATTATTATTTGCTGTGCAATACCATATTTACAGAGTTGCAAAATCGGCACGGGTAAGTGATAAATAGTTATGCACCATACATTAATGAATTCAATCCCAGACAGCGGCATAATCAACACAATGGCTAATTTGAAATGTGACAGTTGTCTCCGAAAAAAATGCCTTAATTAAAGTATATCTATAGCACATGTATTGTAGACATCTTTCGCGACTCAAACTTACCCTTACATGTATTTGTTCCTAATAAATTTTCCAAAATATGTTCGTATGGTTATAATATAATCATGTATCTGTATCTAATAAGGACCGAAATTTCACTTAACGAATATACTGTTAGAGAGGATTCCAGAATATAATCATGATCACAAGCCTTCTTGAAATATACACTGCCAGTTTCTTTAACAAGGACTACATGAACGATTTGACGATATAGTATTAACAGTCGCGACCGGCGGCACCTCTCTGGGTGTAGCAGTGGCGACCTATTTGACAGGGTCTAAACTCAGGTAAATGTAATGCATTATCCATTCTTTCAAAATCCTGCATATTGTTATTAGAACAATACTAGTATGTTACACACATTGAAATAGCATTATAAAAATACTCGTATTACTGCAAAATAGAGGACAATTAAAAATACTTGACAACATGAAGGTTTTGAACCAAAACCTCTGTCTATTTGGAAATTACCTAACCCATTTTTTTATTTTGGATTGTAAACGTATTGCATGACGGTTATTAATGTAAGCCCTGTTGTGGATTTACAAAAATGTAATCTAAATACACGGACAGAACCGAATTGGGTCTTTCAGTCTAAAAAAATCAAAAAATATAATCGGGTTTAATATTTTAACTTGATAAAATACTTTTGCTTGTTTATTACATACGGTTGACACATTTAAGAAGAGTCCATACTATTCAGAATTTAACTCCCAATGTTATGTATTACCAAAATGTTCGCACTTTGGCTTTTTCCAGATTCGTTCAAAACGTAAAACTTATTTCAATCCTGTGTCAAATTTGCTTCATGATTCATTATTATGCTTCCCGAAAGAAATCGGGGGAGCATATAGTCGTCGGGTTGTTGTCCGTCCGTACGTCCCAAATTCGTGTCCGGCCCATAACTTTGCTATTTGAAGTCGGATTTTAAAACTATTTCACAGAAATGATCGCCATATTGAGGCGACGTGTTGCGCGCAACATTTGGGTCGCTACCTTGAAGGTCAAGGTCGCAGCATGACCTTGCAGCAAAATCGTGTCTCGTCCATAACTTCATTATTTGAAGTCGGATTTTAAAACTTTTTAACAGAAATGATCACCAAATTGAGACGACGTGTCGCGCGCAACATTTAGGTCGCTACCTTGAAGGTCAATGTCAAAGCATGACCTTGCAGCAAAATCGTGGTCGGCCCATAACTTCAATATTTGAAGTTGGATTTTAAAACTATTTCACAGAAATGATCACCATATTGAGACGATGTGTTGCGCGCAACATTTGGGTCGCTACCTTGAAGGTTAAGGTCACAGCATGATCTTGCAGGAAAATAATTTCCAGTCCATAACTTCGTTATTTAAAGTCAGATTTAAAAGCTATTTAACAGAAATGATCACCATATTGAGACGACGTGTCGCGCACAAATTTGGGTCGCTACATTGAAGGTCAAAGTCACAGCATGACCTTGCAGAACAATCGTGTCCGGCCCATAACTTCGTTATTTGAAGTCGGATTTTAAAACTATTTCACAGAAATGATCACCATATTGAACCGACGTGTCGTGCGCAGCATTTGGGTCGCTACCTTGAAGGTCAGGTCACAGCATTGACCTTGCAGCAAAATCGTGTCCGGCCAATAACTTCGTTATTTGAAGTTTGATTTTAAAACTTTTTCACAGAAATGATTCACAATATTAAGATGGACGTGTCACGTGCAACATTGGGTCGCTACCTTGAAGGTCAGGG